ACAGCCACACATATGGGCAAATCTCCGGAGCTGTGCTATTCAACGTTAACAAAAAGTAAATTTTTTAAGTTGAACATAACAAATAACTTATACATCAAATTGAAATCCATCGAGAAAACATTAAATTTTTGTGTGATTCATTTTCCTCAATTGCCTAAAGAGTTATAAGTAGAAAACGATAATTTTTGAAAACGCAATAATAGCGATACTTCTAGGGCGTCGTGGTTTTTTTCCGATTTCAAAAATTTTAAGGACACTACCTAAGAAGATCAGGCGCAATGTGTATATCAAATTTGATACAGATTGTTGAAGTGGTTTTCGAGATACAAATATTTGACATAAGAGGGTGGTCCACTATCAGTTTCCTAAAAATTTTACGAAAAACTAATTTTCGCTTAATATCCATTGAAAATGTCATTTAGGAGTAAATATTTAAAAATTCGTTAGCCGCACTGCGCCAAGGTCTGAAAATCCCTACATAGACATATACAAATTCGTGGCCGTATTTTAGACAAAAATTATTTTATGTATTTAGAATTTTTTATTTTATATTATATTTGTTATATTTTCAATATTTTCAAAGGCATGCAGCTGTTCATAAGTGGTCTTATTTTTATCTTTCATGTGTAATTAATATGTATTTATATACATAAATAAATAAGAACAATTTAGTAATTACTTAAAGTTCAAAACGGACAAAAACTTGAAATGTTACATTTTTGATAATTACGGGTGACAGATTTCAAACTGTTACATTTTATTTCCAATGAGGAGTACATATTTTTCTCAACACCTAACGCATTTCTCAATATTGTATTTACTAGAGATGTGCGATTAACCGATTAAATAATTTTTTAATTAATCGTAATCCTAATTCATCAAAAACGTGGTTAATCAGATTCTGATTAATTAGATTCTGATTAATCAGATCCTGAGTAATTACCGTTTACTCATAAAAAAAGAATAATTGAAATCTGAGTAACTTTGCTCATAGCATAAAATGTGGTTGTTCACACTTGCCTGGTCATCCGGTTATGTACTTGTATTTTTTATTCAGTTAACAATAATAAAATACACTAAAAATAATAATTATTAACCAGATAACCTGATAACCAAGCAAGTCTGAACAACCACAATATTTTTCTTATTAACAAAGATATAATCCCAAAAGAGCACATTAGTACTATGCTTATTGAAATGGCAAAAAATACATACATGGCTGCAGGTATAATTTTTTTTAATCAATTATTCAGGTTTCTTAATGATTAATCAATTTTCTGATTAATACAATTAATTAGATTCTGTTTAATTGAAATGTAATTAATCGAGAAATTAATCACTCTGGTTAATCAAAAAAGTACGCTTTGATTAATCGATTAATCAGGTATCGATTAATCATCTCGTTCGATTAACTGACTAGTCGCATTTCCCCAATGTTTACGTTTTGCCATGTTTTACCTTCTTGTCCTTGTCCAGATCACGCATTTCATCATATTATCATTTTAAGCAACCGTCTGATTTTCAGGGCAATCATCTCCCCTGGCAAAGCTTCAAAGGGCAGAAAAGGTGCCTTATTTGCCTTACATTTTGAGAAATGAACACACAATTTTCTCACCCTTTGCCTTTAATTTAGAATCGAACAATAAAAGAGAAAAGGGCAATCAAAAGGCGACATTTTTTAATAAAAACGAAATCGCCATAAGTAAGTTATAAGAACTCGTTACATTTGTTAACAAAATGACCTAAGTTGTTTATGAAAAGTAAAATTACAGTAAAAAAATGTGTTTAAAGGTAAGTGACACAAGAGCACTCGGTTCCGGAGATTTGTTCATATAAATGTGCTTTCAAATGTCGAATTTCCATCAATAGCAAGAATGATAGAATACAAGATTGCGCCGATCAGAGAGGATTTTTGAGAATGACTTTTGTGTGACGTCACACTGGTGCAATTGCGAGAGAGAATTGCCAAAACGTTAACAAGAATGGAAGAAGAAGAAAAAATGTTGCAAGGAAAACGTAAACAAGTTGCACAAGTGTGACGTCATGCAAACAACGATTCCGTCAAATTCGTTAAGAGAGGAATAGCGGTCCGAGATCGGCGCAACCTTTGTATTCTCTCAATCGTGCATCAATAGCACAGCACGCGATTTGTACGGATATACAAGTACTATGTATGTATGTATGTGTTCTCACCGCTATACATGCTTGGTGTGCGTATGTACACCTGCATATTTTTTTATGAAAGTAAAAGTGCATGTTTAGCGCAAATAATGCTTTTTGAGTTCTTTTCCTAGGTATATGAGAAGTTGGTAAAAAAATTCAGTTGATTAAAAAAATAAGTTTTTTTTATAAAACAACAATCGAAATTTTACAAATAAGTTCTGTCAAAAAATCATAGGTTCCAAATGAATGGTTGCTGAAATATTCCAAAAAGTGTAAAAACCTGCATAAAAACTTGTTTGCAAATAACTCGGCGAAAAAATAAAATCAGCCCAAAATCTTTGGTGTCAATATTGCAAACATTTTACTATACCTTTACTAAATTTTTAGCAACTTTTTTTTAGTTAATTTTTGTTGTTTTTTTTTAATTTTTAGATTATATTATTTTGAAAATAAAATATATTTCTTATTTATATTAATTGTTCGGAACTCATTTTTTCTTTATAATTTTTATTTTATTAGATTTTATTGTATTAAAAATAACATAATTTTTAATTTCATTTAGATTTTAGAAACTGATTCTATCTATTAAGTTTGTCTTTGCTTTAATATTTTTTTTTTTAATTTCTATTTTTTTTTTTTTTTTTTTTAAGAAGAAAAGTATTAATTTTTTATTTTATTTAAATTTTTAGAAAATTTACTGCCAAAATACAAACAGAAAACCCCTAAAGAAACACAGAAAAGAGTTTTCCACATAGTTGCCAGATTTAACAATTTTGTCCCATGAAAAATGTTCATCTTTCGAAAGACTGTCGTCAGATAAAAGACAGTTTGCCAGATTTGCCATGTATAGATAAAAAAATAAATGTTTTTTTGAAGGCAAAATTGAATAAGGCCAAGCGAAAAGATTCGGTAACGCCAATATTCTTACCAATTGCCTCGATATTTTTCGGGTACCCAGACACTTCTTAATCTTAAGAACAGTTTCTCCACACTTATTCCTTAGGAAGACGTTTCGGTATTGTGCCTTCAACACAGGTTTCACTGTACCAACATTTGAACAAGAATAGGCTAAAATAAACACACATATCGTTCTAGTTTTTGCACTAATCGAATAAAAATACTAAAATATTTAGTATAACAAATTCGACTGCAAATAGATAGTAAAAGGCACACACATACATTTTTTTTTGTTTTTTTTTTTGTTTTTTTTTTCCAATCCATATTCCTCGTTTACATGCTAAGAATATTTTATTTGTTTGCTGCTGCCATCATCATCATAAATCATATTGTTGTATTAGGTCAAAAAAGTGACTGTGGCATATGTAAGTTTTATTAAGTTTGTGCATATTTATTTACGCGAAATAATAACGAAACCGCACTGCTGGGCGTAATCGTTTAAAGAGGAGAACTTATCTCACTGTGTTGGATTTTGCACAATGTGCATGTACATACACATACATATGTAGGCATATATGTATGTATGTATGTATTGGTTTATGCAAAATATAAGTTCTATTGACGCCTCATTGCACAATTTTCGCACGCATAACTTATCGGTGCGCTCTCATGTGAATATATCCTGGATATTTTCAGCAACTTTGTAGATTTTGGTAAACTGATTGCATTCAAATCAGTTAGATTCGTTGTAAATTATTGTTTTCTAAAAATTCAAATTTTGTCGCCATATGCAGGCGGTATAATTGAAATATATTTTGTTGGAAAGCACGATTACCTTTGGGTATTGTAAATCTGTATATGTATGTAAATATATTTTGCACAACAGAAATTTATTACAACGCATACATTTTTTTTTCTTGCATATTTATACTTGTTACATATTTTTTGTACTAAATACTTCGCTTAAATTATGATTTAGAGAATAATAATGAAAGTGTTGAGAGAAGGGATACAGATTATACCGATTATGCCTTTTATAATAAAATGTTAAAACAAATTTGCTTTCTTTGGACTTGTATTTATTGAACAGAAAACACGGGCGGAAAATTTATTATAATTTTGCCTTATATTTTTTGCCCTTCGCAAAATGCAAAAATTCAAATTTCAACATGAAACAGTAATATCTCTGAACAGAACGATTTATCATGAAGAGTCATGCAGAAACTAATTCAAAACATGACGAATCCTAAAAGCACCCAACAATTAAAAAAATAATAAAACACGAAGAAATACGAAAACTTTCGAAAAATTTATTTCTGGAAGTCTCCAGAAGGGAAACAGAGTTTTCAGACCGAAAAAATATTAGTTTTCACGAATTCCATACCATTTTTACGAAACTTGAACGCTTTGAGCGACCTCTATATATTTTCTGATTAGAAAATAAATGAAACGGGGGATATTTTTTTTTTTGTTTTGTTTAAATGTACGTACAAATTTTTAATTGCGCGCTCTAATAGGCAGCCTAAATCAAAAACAATCACAAATCAAAATTTTTCAAATAAAACAGTTAACAGACCATATTTC